TTCAGGCTGGCATGGAATCCTTTAATCCCTCTCGACGATTCCAGGTCAAGCCTCACTCTTCTTCATGGTTTTCCTCACATTGTGCTGCTGCAATTGCCAATCGAAACCATTACTTCCATTTCTATCAGCAAAACAATTCTCCAGAAAACAGACGTTTGTTTATTACTGCTAGGAACCATTGTAAAAAAGTTTTGTCTAACGCCAAAGCCCGCTATTCTCAGATCATGAAATCTCATATTTCATCAAAAATTAGCCTCTCATGACTTCTGGAGAATCTTTAATAGTATCAATAATAAGGGCAAGTCTGTAATTCCACCTCTTTTGTATGGTTCAGACTTTGTCACATCACCTAAAGACAAAGCTGAATTGTTTGCCAAGAACTTTTCATCAATATCATCTCTTGATGCCACTAGTTGCATTCTACCTGATATAGCCATCAAACAGGTTGATCTATTGCTTGACATTCGTATTGCTCCAGCTTCTGTATCTAAAGTGATTTCCTGCTTAGACTCTTCTACAGCTTGCAGCCTGGACAACATACCTGTTATAGTCTGTTATAGTTTTCTCCGGAGTTGTCGTCTATCCTTTCAAAACTATTTAACAAGTGCTTATCAGAGTCTTGTTTTCCAGCCTGCTGGAAAGCAGCATCTGTTATCCCTATTTTCAAAAATTCTGGAGAACGATCCTATTCGTCTAACTACTGTCCCATTAGTCTTCTTCCTATCATAAGTAAGGTTTTTGAATCTTTAATTAACAAACACTTTATCTCTTATCTCAAATCTCATAACCTACTTTCTGATCATCAATATGGATTTCGATCTTCTCGTTCTACTCCTGATTTGCTATCAATAATAACCGATAGGTTTTATCAGGCATTAGATAAAGGTGGAGAGGAAAAGGCCATTGCTCTTGACATTTCTAAAGCGTTTGATAAAGTTTGGCATGCTGGTCTCCTCCATAAGCTTTCTTCTTACGGTGTATCTGGAAACATCTTTAAGATTATTGAATCCTTTTTTTCCAATCGTAGTATAAAAGTTGTCCTTGATGGACAGCACTCTTCTTCTTATTCTGTAACCTCAGGGGTTCCCCAAGGTTCAATCCTTGGCCCTATACTCTTTTTAATTTACATTAACGATCTTCCAGATATTCTCACATCTAAGGTGGCATTGTTTGCTGATGTTACTACCATTTATTTCTGTCACGATAAGAAGCCAACTCCCTCTGATTGCTTGCAGGGGGCATCTGAGCTTGAAAAGGATCTCACTTCCGCTACAGCATGGGGCTCACAGTGGCTGGTGAACTTTAATTCAGATAAAACTCAATTTTTTTTAGTCAATCGTTATCGCAATAATTTAGACCTTTCTATATTTATGAACGGTAATGTACTTGATGAGTCTCCTACCTTCATCTTCTTGGATTAACTCTTACTTCTGATCTTTCTTTGAAACCTTATATCAAATCCATTGCAAAATTAGCATCTGCTAAAGTTGCTTTTCTTTATCAAGCTTCTCACTTTCTTACTCTGGATTCTATTCTCTATAAATCTCAAATCCGGCCTTGTATGGAATACTGTTGCCATATCTGGGGCGGATCTTCTAATGATGCCCTTTCTCTTTTAGACAAGATGCAAAAATGCATTGTAAACATAGTTGGACCTGCTCTTGCAGCCAACCTTCAACCTCTGTCACATCATCGTAATGTTGCTTCTCTTTCTCTTTTCAACAAATACTATAATGGGCACTGCTGGAAAGAGCTAGTATCTCTTGTGCCATCTACTAAAATTCATTCTTGTGTTACTTGTCATTTAATTAAGTCTCATCCTTTTTCTGTTACTGTTCCTATGTGCTCCAAAAACTTTTATTTGGCTAGTTTTTTTCTTCGAACATCAGTTCTTTGGAATTCCTTTATCTTGCTTTCTTCATCTTGCTTCCTTCATCTTGCTTTCCTGATTCATATAATTTGCAATCTTTTAAGTTGTCTCTCAATCGTTATCTTGCACATATATATCATGTACATATATATATATATCTATATTTAAATATATATATATATATATATATATATATATATTATATATATATATATATATATATATATATATATATTTATATATATATATTTATATATATATATATGTACATAATACAATTATAAAATGAAAAATGTGTAATTTTAAAAAATATTTATTTAAATTGTTTAACAAAATGTAAACAATAGAAATATGTTTTTAGGTGTTCGACTTGGCTATGTTGTATTACTGTTAGTCTTCTATGGCTTGGCTGTCATTCCTTTTATGTATTTATTTTCATTTTTATTTGTTGTTGCTTCTACGGCTTTTACCAGAATGACTATTTTAAATGTTATCACAGGGTTGGCTACTTTACTGGTTGTCAATATATTGAGCTTGCCTTCACTTAACTTGCTTGATGTGGCAAATATTTTGAAGTGGGTTTTCTTAGTGCTACCCAATTACTGTCTTGGTCAAGGAATAATTGATATTTTTAATAACTATCAGTATAATACTATTTTTGATAAAGCTTTACAAATGTGTATTGATGAACTTAGAAAACAGTTACCTTTTTTACCATCACCTAAAATTAAAGAATTATGTTTGACTTTTACAAAAGAAATGTTTGCAAATCAATCAGTTACTTTTCAAACAAATTATTTGTCATGGTACAATCCTGGAATAGGTCGGAGTTTGGTGTTTATGGTCATCCAAGCTGTGATTTTTTTTGCTCTGGTTTTATTTATTGAGTACAGGGTTTTAAAAAGGTTTATTTCAGTCATTAAAAGTAGGTTTTTAAATAGAAATCAAGAAAAACATTTAGTCCAGCCAGGTATTCAATTAGATGAAGATGTTTTAATGGAACAAATACGAGTTGAACAAGGTGATATTTCAAATTGTGTGCTAAAGCTCAATGGACTTACTAAAGTATATGGTTCTAAGTTTGGTAAAAGAGGTATTTTATAGTTCCGAGTTCAAAATATTGTAATATAACTGCTACTAAGTAATCTATTGTAACTAAGCTTTTTTATTGTGTATTTAAATGATTTTTATATTTTTATAAAATAAGAATTTTTTTCTACCAGACAATTTGTCAAAATAACAAACTTTTTTCTACCAGACAATTTTAAAAAAGACAATTTTAAAAAAGACCGGTAAAGACTCAAGTTTGCCGGACATGCCTGATAATAATTGAGTGTGATCAAACTCCATTCCTGAACACGCTTTAAATATTTTGTTTTTACAACTTGACCACGCAATTTGTTTTGACATTTTTAGGCATTTCTAAATTTGCTGAAAAGAAAAAAAATATTTTGTGTGATAAATTATTTATCAAAAAAAAAATCTTAAAGAAAATGAAAAAATCTAAGCTCAAAAAATTAAAATTTGAAAAGTAAAATATATTTGTATTACGTTTTTTAAAAATTACTATATTATGTAAAATACTTTGTAAAATATTAAATACATAAATTATTACATAAATATATTAAATACATAAATTATGTAATTATTAAATACATAATTAAATATGTAATAAAAATGTATAACAAAAATACAAAATTATTAAATACATCAATTACTATGTAAACATGATAAATACATAATTTATCAAGTTTACTTATTACTTTATTAAATAAAGTAACAAATTAATTATAATGTTTACAATAAACCTATTTTATTTAAATTATCAAAGTATATTATATGTAATTAGTTTAGTTAATTAGTTATAAAAACATGTATTTTTTTATTCTTTATTTTTTATTTATTTTTCGATCTTTTCAAACTTTTTCTAGGAATAATTTTATAAAGACTTTTAATAGCGAAAAATTTTAGCTCAAAAGCAAACATTATTTAACAACTCAAATAAAAAGTACTGGTTTCTATAAGCATTAAAATAACTATTACATTTGAATTTCTATAAAATAAATTTAAAAGGGGTTTTAAAAGCTAAAATATTTGTTTGAAATTTATAAAAATCACTAGACAAAAAAAAATACTAAACTAAAAACTTAAGTTAATAAGTAATGGCAATGTTTTAATAAGAATGATAAAAACCGGGCTACTTAATTCAAAAAATATGTAATGCTTTGGCATTATTTAAAAAATGAATTAACTCAAAAAAATGTGTTGTGTTGTTAAAAATTAAAAGTTTAAAAAATAAAGTTTATAATACTGAATTTATTCATAATTTTTAAACAACTAAAATAGTTATAAAATGTCATTTTTTGCCGGAGAGTGTCTGATGTCCGGCACTTATTTCAAGTCCTATATATATATATATAAATATATATATATATATATATATATATATTATATATATATATATATATATATATATATATATATATATTTATTTATTTATTTATATATATTTATTTATTTATATATATATATATATATATATATACATATTTATATATATATATATATATATTTATATATATATATATATTTATATATATATATTTCTTTATATATATATATATATATATATATATATATATATATATATATATATATATATATATATATATATATATTTATATATATATATATATATATATTTATATATATATATATATATATATATATTTATATATATATATATATATATTTATATATATATATATATATATATATATATAAATTAGTAGAAAATCACTTAGCAAAATTTTTTCTCATTTAACTCTGTGTTTCATCAATAAAGACTCATCAGAAAATTTTCTGATGAGTCTTTATTGATGAAACACAGTGTTAAATGAGAAAAAAATTTGCTAAGTGATTTTCTACTAATTTGTAAATGTAGAATACATTTCAAATTGTTTATTTATATATATATATATATATATATATATATATATATATATATATATATATATATATATATATATATATATATATATATATATATATATATATATATATATTAAGGGCATGACTAAAAAGCACATTTCATGGCATAGCAGCATAAGATGAATTTTTACTTGTATTAACTTAAAATAATACTTTTTTCCAAATCAAAAGAAACCCCATCCCCCGCCCAACAGTGCAGATGGAAATTTGGTCCCAGCTGTCTAAAAATGCAAAAAATTCAAGTGAAAAAAAATTTTGCATTTATAATAGGGGCTTGGTCACTTTGCAAAGTTTCAAAAATGCCATGAGAGTTATTTTTGTAGCTTGTTCTTGTTTTTTTTTTGGGTAAAAATGTTTTTTTTTTGGGTAAAAATAATGGGAAGAGTTAAAATTCACCATTTGCAATCATGTGTATATTTGAGAGGTGGGGGAGGGAGGCTTTTAATTATTTTTTTTTTGCATGTATAAAATATAAAAGATTTTTGTAATTATACATTTTTTATTTAAAGAAATTTTATGGTTTTTATCCAAGATTTTTATTTTAAATTTTAAACAATGATAAACTACAATCATTAAGTTTGCTTCACCATCTCCTTTTGTTTCTAAACATTTTAATGGGTGGTTTAGAGTGGGAGGAGGGGGGAGTTAAAAAATAATTTTGTGAATTTTTTTTTAATTTTTTTGTAAATAAAAAGATGTCAGCAAGCAATTTTGTTTAAACAAAATATCTCTTTTTTTATTAAAATTTTTTTGGACCTGGAAACTGATTTTTCTTTGATTTGTTAAAAATAACATTACTTTAGACAGAATGATTGAAAACCAGTTCATCAAACTGGAATCGCTATATATTATATACTTATTTCCAGATTATAAAAGATTTTTTAAAAAATTGTCACTGGTCTTTTTTGTTTTACAATACAGTGCAGAACGTGCTTCTAATTCTAGTCAAGACCGCATTGAAACTTTTAGAAAAAAAAGTAGACGGAAAAGTAAAAATAATGGTTCTAGCTTATCATTGTTTAAAATTTAAAACAACTGATAAATCTTGGATAAATCTTAGATAAAAACCATAAAACAGTCTTTCTTTAAATAAAAAATGTACAATTAAAAAAATGTTTTATACTTAAAGTACATTAAAAAAAATTTAAAAGGCCCCATTCCCCCAACTACTCAAATATACACATAATTGCAAATAGTTACGATCAACTCCTCCGATCATTTTTACCAAAAAACAAAACATAATCATAAAAAACAAAACATAAACATAAGTAAGTAAAAATCAAGCTACAAAAATAATTCTCATGGTATTTTTGAAATTTTGTAAAGTGCCCCTACTATAAATGCAAAAACTTGAATTTTTTGCATTTTTAGACAGCTGGGACCAAATTTTCATCTGCACTGGTGGGGGAGTTTTTTTTTCGATTTGGAGAATAGGTCTCTCTCTCTCTCTCTCTCTCTATATATATATATATATATATATATATATATATATATAATATATATATATATATATATATATATATATATATATATATAGAGAGAGAGAGAGAGAGAGAGAGAGAGAGAGAGTGTGAGAGAGAGAGAGACACCTATGGTAAAGGGCTTAGATATACAGTTTGTGGTAAAAACAGCTCTTTGCTTGTTTGTGGTAATAAAGCTGACAAAATTAAGATTACATTATGTCAAAATGCATTAATTTAATTGAGGAAGTAATTAAATGATAAAACCACAAATTAAAAGACTAGAATGTTTTTAAAAACATTCTAAATGTTTTTAAAAGCATTATGAATGTTTTTATTTTATTTTTTAAAAATAAAAACATTCTAAATTTTTTTGTTTTTTTATAACTGTAAAACATGCACAGAGTGTTGCTACATCGATTATCTTATAGCTTGACTCACAACAGAGTGCTGCTACATCGACTGACAAATAGCCTGACTCGCAACGGAGTGCAGCTACATCGACTGAGGGTTTGGTTTGGGCAGGCAGTCTTTCAAATTATTTATAATTATTAAAAAAAAAAAAATTTTCCCGGTCTTTTAAATAAAAAAAAAACTTAAGAGTAACATTTTATGGTAAAAATTTAAAGACGACCATGCAAGAGTATATATATATATATATATATATATATATATATATATATATATATATATATATATATATATATATATATATTTTTTTATATATATATATATATATATATATATATATATATATATATATATATATATATATATATATATATATATATATATATATATATATATATATATATATCAGTCTTATTGTTGTTTGATTATATCACCCATATTTTACATTAGGTGAAGAATTTTTAGCTGTGGACAATATATCTCTTGGTATACAATATGGAGAATGCTTTGGCTTGATTGGACAAAATGGGGCTGGTAAAACAAGTACATTTAAAATGCTAACTGGTGATGAAACTATTACAAGTGGAATGGCCTTTATTGATAAATACAACATTGCAACAGAAATGGCACAGGTTTGTTTATTAATGAATACAATCTAATGACAAAAATGACAGATTAGTTTGTTGATAAATGCAACATAAACCATTCAGATTAGTTTATTGATTAATAAAATAGAAATGGGGCAGGCTTTATAGATTATATTAGAAATAAAGCCTGTGAAATTAATAGGTATGTGTGTATATATATATTCCTAAAGTTTCTCTAACTCTAAAAAGATTTTATGTTTTAAATGGCTTCTTGCTCAAGTTTTATAAAAGTGATGTTAAAACAAATTATTTGTTCAGGTTAAATTTTTTTTGCTAGGTTCGTCAAAAAATTGGCTACTGTCCTCAGTTTGATTCTTTAAATGATTTGATGACTGGTCGTGAGCATCTAGAAATGTATTGTCGACTACGTGGTGTTCCTGAGAAAAATATTCCATACTTAGTTGATTTTCTTGCAAAGAGTTTGTCAGTTGACCAGCATATTGACAAAGTAACAAAGGCATATAGGTTTTTGTTCTTATTCGCTTAAATTTGTGAATTTGATTTTATTTAAAATTTTTATAACAATTTTTTAATTTGAAATATTTATAAAATTTATTGTACTAGAATCTAAGTTGTAGATATCATATTTATCATTAAAAAAATTTCAAGCAGTATTTTATGCTGATATCAAATCTGAAAACCATTTTTCTCTATTGGAAAAAAACTAACATACAATTGACAACATTTTAAAGTGACTTATAAAGATTTTTAATTTGTTGAATTAACAGAATTTCAAGAAACTTATAAGTTGTTAATTTTACTTGGATTGTATAATATAACTCTAAAATTAATTTAAATTTTTAAATAACAGATTTTTACTTAAAAAGTAGTAATCCGTTGTTTTTTTTTTAAACGATTGCTTTTAAAGTATATATATCAGGGTTCGAATTAACACAAAAAAATCTAATCGGGAAAAAATGAAATTTTTCTATTCCCCACTCTATGATCTCACATCTGTAAAAAAAGTTATTTCAGGTCAATGATAAAACATAAGGTTTATTTTAAAAGTAGATCAAATAAAAGTTTTAGATCATAAAATTATCTACTAAAATTAAAACACAATTGAGTTTATCAGAACGTCTAACAGTAAAAAATCCAAATGTTTTTTAAGTTTCATTAACTGCTCTAATTGTAGCAATCCTGTCCTGTGTAGAAATAATAAAACATTTCTTCAATGCTGTTAAAATAAACTTGTTTATCTTCCTTGCATTCAGATTTTATAAATTCTTTGCAATTAACATCATATTAAAATATTGAATCCATGGTTTCTGTAGGTTCTCATATTTTTAATTCTTTAAAAGTTTTTCATTGAACTAATAAAGTAATACTTTCAATATCGTCATCACTTTCAATATCATTATTTGAAATTATTTTATTTATTCATGGTAAATGATCTTCATGTGTAACTGAACTTTTTGGTGTAATAATTTGATTAATACCCATAATGTGAAGCGTGTTACTACCATTTAATGTCTTTACATTTATACCAGCATTTTTTACAACATGTTTAATAAATGTTTGCGGTGGTAAAATAAAAAGTGAATGGTAAAAAATTGCTAATGCCTACTACATTAAAATGTTATTGTAGAATGCACATAAACCAAAAGATGAAAAGATTTGAATAAGATGTTTTGAAAATAAGTCAATGACTTAGGAATATCGCTGTTAATATCTTCAAACATTCAACTAGGGGAGGGATAATTGGTATCATCAATTGCTAATGATGATCTCAAATGTTGCTGCCGCAGTTTTTAAGATTCGGAATCTTTTTGAGCTTTTCTTCTTATACCAAGCTTGATAAAGAATATTGCGAAGATTGTCAAAAAACAGGGTAATCTGCCTGGTTTCAACTTCAATCTTAATTCTGTTATCTGTAAATCTGTAAATATTTTTTTGCAAGTATTTTCCAACTCTTCTAATAAAAACTCATCATTATTCTCAATGTATGAAAATATTTCTTCCATCGCATCATTCATAGATTCATCCTGAGGACAACCAATTTTACCTCCAGTGGTTGGTCTTAAAAAGGAAATAGAACAACTATTCTGGTACCTAGCTTCAGCAGCAACTAAATCATATTCATTCTCAATGCATGCAATAAAATTTTCTGCTGCATTGTCAGACCAACTCTGAGTAACCATCAGAACTTATTCTTCAAATTTTTGAACATAACATTATAAAATCCTAATTTTAAATAAAGTTTTTATGAGAACTGCTAAACAATAAGTAAAACCCATTAAAACTTTGAAATATTTTATTGTTCTTTTCCAAGATCAGAAAAAGGTTGCAGCAACATTTTTTTTTATGGTAGATAGTAAAATGCATTAGCGAAAAATACAAAAGTTTTCAACCTTGGCCTTTAAATAACCTTTTTTGCAGATGTGATATCCGTGGGAACTTTTAATATTTTATTTTTAATAATGTCCTCAACAACTAAGTCTGTACCAACTCGACTCTATGCGAAATAAGATTTTAAAATTATTTCAAATTTATTTTTATTTTTAACTAATATTTTCAACCCTTTGAGCTCTTGATAAAATTCAAACGCCGTTCAGAAAAGTGCAACTAAAAAAAATCGGAAAAAAATATAACGAAAAAAACAACAAGAAAACATCTAATTTTGGACTTTATTTTTTTATAGATATATATATATATATATAAGATTAAAAGCAGTTTAAAAATTTTAATGCACAGCTGTTGTGTGATAATTAGAAAAACAGGCTGGACACAGTCCAGCATCACATAACTGACACTGCCAACTAATGCAGACTCAAGTTTGGTGCCCAGTTACACATTTTTTTTTTTTTCCTGCACCAATTGTCACAAGATTGTGACCATATATTGGATTGTTATTAGCAGTATGTTGGGGAAGTGGGTATGGGATAATTGTACTTCTAGTCACTTCAATCTCTTTAGATATTTGTCTTTTAGAAATTACTTTCACTGGAAAATAATCTAAACTTTCCACTATTGCCATCATAAAATTTATTCTTGACATTGGCTTATGTTCATCTGTATTGAGCTTATACAATAAATAGTTATTTAAAATTGCCCTACCAAACAGAAAAAGCAACTTTTGTTGTCCATTTTATTGTTATTGCTCTGACAAGTACACACAGAGCTGTGCATTACCCAAATCTACATCGCACATGGTTTTATTGTAAAGGGCAACAACATTTGGTTTCATAACTCTATTTCCTTATCTGTTACACATTTCAGTGAAACCTGCTTAGGCAACATTAGATAATAAAATAGTTTTTTACCATCTTGATATGCCGCACACAACAAAGAACCTTTTCTATATTGGCAAACCTCCTCTCTTTTATAATTTTGATTTAATGCAGATATCTGGTAGGCCTTTCCTGTTGATTCTCACTGTGCTTGTTGAAGTAGTATGAGCTTTAGATCTAATAACAGTTGTGGAGAAGTATAATAATTATTAGTAACTATGTGATGACCTTGATGGAGGAAATAAGTTTGGCACAAAATACCAAAAACTAAACTATAAGTCATACCATAGGCAATGGCTGCTACATCTGGGTCTTTCCCTCCCTTATAAATTTCGAGTTGATGCAAATAACCAGTGATGCTGTCTGAAACACACCATAACTTGTTCCTAAATCAAGAATGACGTTTGTTTGGCATATATTTATGCAGATGTGGTGTCTTTCCTTTTTAGCCAACTATATTCTTATCTATTGAAGTGTCTCTTTGTGGATCATAATAATAAAAAAATTTGTTGTTAAAATGTTCAACTAAAAATTGAATTTTAAAAATCTTATTGAGTAGTTGTTGATTTGGCACATGAATATATGTAAAATAAAGAAATTTAAGCAAAAGTTGAAATCGGTCACAATTGAAATGGATAACAGACCAAGGTGTAGATGCACAAGGATGACTCATATCTCAGTACAGTTTAGGTAAGCTTTTTTGATTAGACCCATGTTGATTACAACTCCAAGGAAAGCTCTTATCTCTAAAAGATTGGTCTTTCCATGTTTAATCCATTATGACCAGTGCTTGGGTCCTGATTCACCAGTAAAGTGAACAATAGGGATGTGATTTTTTAGTAAATTTTTTCTAACTTCTGTTTCCAATATAAAAAACAGATGAACTTTGGTTTGAAAGTAACTGAAAAATCAATGGTTTTATTTAATTTTTAAAAAAGGTCACCCACCAAGACCCTTGATTACACACTGGCTCCCATATATCAGTGAATTTTTTTTTTCAAAAGTATATCAACCTGGGTCTCAAAAGAATCAGAATTTTTTAGTGATTTTAAAATTATAATCTTTTCTACTGAAACATTTAAAAATATATATATATATATTGCAAACTAAATGTCATAAAAAATGACCTTTTCAATTTTTAGTTAAAAATTGTTGTTTTTTGTATATAAAGTTTAAGCAATTTATTTTTATTTGAAACCATTATTATTTTCATTATTAAAAAAATTCACTGATATATGGGAACCAGTGTGTAATCAAGGGTCATGGTGGGTGACCTTTTTCAAAAATTAAATAAAATCAATGACTTTTTAGTTGATTTCAAACCAAAGTTCATCTGTTTTTTATTTTGGAAACTGGAGTTACCAAAAAGTCACATCCCTAGTGAACAACATCAGGACCATGGTCATCTGCTAGAACAAATACCCAATCATTTAAAACATTACCACCAACATCATCTACATCAACATCAGAACTTAATTCTACAAAACCAAATTATTATACAAGGTGATATATTTGTATTAAATAATATTGTATGCAATTTTAATCTAAAGTTATCGTGCCTTCATCAAATAAACTGTCATCGCTGGAACTTAAAAATTCTTTGCTAACACAACTCTTGTCATCCAGGAAACTTTCTTCGCTGTTGCTTATTTTCAATACCAAATATATATAAACAATATACAAAAGATGTGCTCTATTCAATGCTTCAGTTTTTAATGTAGGAACAGTGGTATTTTGCTGTAAAAAGTCATAGTTTAAAAGTCCACCTTTCAGTGGTCTTTTAAACTATGACTTTTTGTGACTCCTCAAGCTCTGAAGGTATAGTCACGATTATGGCTCATCGGGCTCAAAGGGTTAATTTATAGCTCTGACAATAATATTTGTTCTATGTATTGCTTATTTTTCTGTATAATCTTTAGTTAATTTTTTAAATTATTTAGTGGAGGTAACAAGCGGAAGCTGTGCACAGCTATTGCCCTTGCAGGTGATCCGCCGCTAATATTCTTGGATGAGCCGTCGTCTGGAATGGATCCTGCAGCAAGACGAATGCTGTGGAATTCTTTGTTTCATGTTTTAAAGTCTGGGAAGTCTATTGTTATTACTTCACATCTGTACGTTTTTTTAATTCAGTTAAACTTTGATTTATTTTACTGTGTTTTTTGAACTTAAAATGAGTTATTTTTATAGTTGTTATCCTTAAGAAATTATTTGATTCCTAATTTTAACAGTTTATCTAGTAGTACATTTTGTTTTTTTCAATATTAATTTGATTTAATTATTTCATCCTGTGGCAATTTAAGTTGTGTTTTAAAATTTTTTATTAAATAGAAATTAAAAAAAATGCAACTTGTCAATAAATAACTTATAGGGAAGTTTTATCCTTAAGAAATTGATTAAATAACATTATCATTAATATTCATTAATTATTATGTTAACGTTTAATTAACAGTTAGAACTTATTATCGTGATTAATTTTGATTATTAAGGCTTTTGGATTTCATCTTTCTTATTCTTGTTGTGTAGATCATATTTAAGGCTTTTGGACTTGTAATAGTTTTTCTTGTAGACCTTTTTTATAAATTAAGGCATTTTATCTCGTGGCAATTTAGGTTGTGTTTTATGAATTCGTTTAGAAGGCAGATGATGCTAGAATTTAAAAATTAACCAAAAATGAAAACATTGTGCAGTTAGTAAAAGATACTTTCGATTACTAAAGTAAAATAATATATATATATATATATATATATATATATATATATATATATATATATATATATATATATATATATATATATATATATATATATATTTATTTATTTATTTATATAAAACTTATTTAGAGGTTGCTTTTTTTTGGGAATGAGTTTGTTAAGTATTATATCTATCTATCTATGTATAAGTTTAATTGGAAAGTTAAGTATAGTTAAGTTATGATTAACGCATGTGAAAAATAAACAAATTGTTTAAAAAACATATTAATTAAGAAACATAGTAAACTTTTTTTTAATTTGAAACAAGTTAAGGCTTTTAATTAAAGCAGTTAAAAATAAGAAGCGCTACAGCGTTACACAAAGAAAACTCTAAACAAGTACTAATATCTCTAACAGAATAGTTATTGAAAATGGGGAGAGGGATTATATAATCCAAAAGGCTTGGTCAATAGGAAAAAAAGTCTTACAAAGTAGGTAATTAAAATTCAGCGAATGCAATGTTACTTTTAAGACTATAAATATTCAATGATTAATTGAAACAATTAGGTGGTAAAAAAGGTTGTTTTTTTAATGATATTTTAAGGCACTTTATTGATGTTTTATTAATTAGAGAACTTTTGTTTTAAAAATTAGAGAAACTCAGACAAAGTGCAATACACCCTAAACAATAAACTTTTTTGGTTGCTTTATTTTTGCAAATCAACTCAAGTTGTAACAAAGGGCTCCTTATGTAACTTTTAAGATTCACACCATTAACACTGACAATGTAGCTTTTCATGTGCAACATGACATCTTCAAGACTCTGGTATTTTACAGCTGCTGGTAGGATCAACTTCTTTAAGAGCTACCTCAGAGTTACAGAAACCTTACTATCAGCTTTCTCAGAACCAAGTTTTAGATTGTATCCTTATTAGGGTACAATCTAAAAGTAAATAAGAGTTGCATAGCTATTAGTTAGGAGATACAAACAATAACCCATAAGTTGAGTTAAAAAGATACGCCATTTATTATCCTAAGCAGGAAAGAATGTAACACAGTTTTATATCTGCACATATCCTTCAGTCTCCATGCAAAGAAGAGGTGTGAAACTGTTCAAAAAAAAAGTTACTCCTAAAGTTTTTGTCTTGGAGCCTTTCTACAAAACAATAGCTGGATTCAGTTAAAATCTAGATAAGTATTTTTATTGAAACACCATTTTTTTATAGTCAGTGCAACCATAGACTTTAATTTTTAGTTACTATTAATGCTGGTTATCTAGTTTTAAAATCTAAATATGATTACTTCAATTATAAATCTACTTATTTAATGCTCACAACACCTTTAAGTTGTTACATTTTAAAATAATTTTGTTTATTAAAAATATAATTACAACATTGTATTTATTAAATTTCTAATATATGTGTTACATTTGTTCACAAATATTTAAATGTAGTTGTGTAAATGTATTTTACCACTGGTACATATTTTAAAACAGTATACCATCATTGATATTCATTTGTTTTAAAACAGTTTTTAAAAATATATCAAGTTTTTTTGTAATCAATACTACAAGGCACTTAAACAATATTATTTATAACATGATTAACCAATATTATTTATGCTCTCTTATGTAGAGTTATGACAAGTAAAATTTATTTGCAATTACAGAAATTAAATTACAGAAATTAAATTACAGAAATTAAATATATACAATTATAGTATGCAAAAAAATAATCCTACACTAAAAAAACAACTAAATTTTTAAAATTGCACTAAATAAATGAGTTTTCTTTTAAATTATTTGAAATTTGTTACTTGTTGATCTTATCAAGTATTATTTTAAGAATCTATTTGTGTATTGATGAATAAATTGCTTTTTGAACATGTTAAATTTTAGACAATTAATCTTATGATGCATAAAGTTAAATGCAAAAAAATAATTGTACACTTACAAAAAAGATTTTGTTTAAATTAAGAATGAACCTTACCAAATCAATTTTTTTAAAAGCAAAATTGGAAATAGTTAATATACATTTTTGTCCTAAATATAATTGAAAAATAAATAAATATAATTAAAAAATATTTTAGAAAAATTGCAAGAAGAAAACAACATTTGTCATTCCGTCAGACCCAATAAGAAACAATAATCCTTTTACCACAGTAAAAAAGTAATAATTTAAAATAATTTAAATCTTTAATAATAATTAATATTATAGTCAACTAACTCTGATAAAGAGTTAGTTAACTATAAAAAAAAAACAAATTAATAATGTTTAAGAAAATTAAAATAACAGACAGGATGGAAGCTTTTATTTCTTTAACAAAACTAGAATATACTTGAATTTAAAAAACAAAAAAAGTTTTAAAAAAACTTATAGGTTAATGCTCACTTTTTATTATGTTTGTTTTAAATTGCAAATTGTCATAAATTGTTTTATAATAAATAATAAAAACTTTTATTATTTATTACAAAGCAATTATTTTAATTATAAAATAATTAGAATAGAAAAGTATTTTCTTAGTGAGGATATAAGAGTAAATTCTTAGTAAAGATTTCTTAGTAAAATTTTTTAGTAAAGATTTCAAGTAAAAATCTAACAACTATTTTAATTGCTTACCAGCAAGGAAATCGCTAAAACAAAACGTGGTTTTGTGACAACTCCTGCAGAACTTGTTACTAAAAAGTTACAATGTTGTGACAAGGGGGAGGGGGTCTAAAATAGTCAAAAAATGGGATTAATTCATATTTTTTTGTTAACCTCTGTTTTTTATAACACTTTATATACTACTGTATGCTTTTGAGAAAGTTAGATGTGTTTTTTTTGTTGTTTTTTTTTATTTGGCATATTTTTTATTACTAGTATGGAAGAATGTGAAGCATTGTGCACAAGATTAGCTATTATGGTTAATGGACAGTTTAAATGTATTGGTAGTCCACAACACTTAAAAAACAGATTTGGTGAAGGTTATACACTAATTGCACGAGTTGGTAAGAATACTTTTTTTATTTGTTGTTTTATTTATTTTTAATTTTTTTGATTTTTTTATTTCATTATAAAGTTCTATTACTTTTTCAACAGTGAAAGAAGAAAATTAATTAATAAATTAACTTACTAAATAAATTAAATAATGTAGATGTGGATTAAATGTTTTTAAACTCAATTTTAATTATTTTTATGCAGTTCATTGATTTTTTTTTTTTGTTTTTGTTTTTCTGCATTGCATTAAAATGTGTGGTACAAAGACAATAGGTTCATGTAGACACCTGCATGAACTTCTTGTCTTCATGATGTATATTATATACAGTTATACAGATTGATCTTGTAATCACTTCAGATAAAAGTGAGTTCTCTACATATACCACACCAGAAAGTTCCAATTGTTAGGGCCAAAACAACTGCCAAAATTAACTCTGAAAGTCAACCTGAACTGCAAAAAAGTTTTACTTTTGGTTTGGTTGTTGCATTCTGTACCAAAAACAACCTTTAGGCAAAATATTCAAAAATTCACTCACATTCTAAAATCGACACTGTAAAAACTATTACAGCTAAGCTTGAGGTTTTGTTTCATTTGTCTTTATAATTTTTCTTTATGAGGAGGCACCACAACAGAATCTCAATCACTTTTTTTATTCAATAAATAAATATTGCAATGATTATGTAATAAATATTTTTTTTTTAGTTAGAAAATTAATTTATATAAAATTTAAAATTTATATTTTATCTAGTTAAAAGATTTATCGCATGTATAATAAGTTTTTTTAATTGTTTAATTATTTCTTTTTTCTGCATTTTCTACTTTGTTTAATGATTCTTATTTGCCTTAATTAACTTGACAGAATAAAGTAAAAAAATTATAAAGTAAATTAATACTGTGATTTTTTATCATTTTGATGTTCTTTTAATGGTTGCTTTAATGGTTTTTTTTCTGATTTTTTAAATCGTTATTTTAGGTATTTTAATTGATAGAATTTAAAAACATTTATTTCAGTAATACTATCTATGAAATTCTGTAATATATAGTCTGTAAAATAAAATCTTTTATATATATAGTATAAAAAATAATTTCTAATATATAGTCTGTAAAATATTTTCTCTTATATAGTCTATATAATTTCTGTTATATAACCTGTAAAATATTTAGTCTTATAGTCTGCAACATAATTTCTGTTATATAGTTTGTAAAATAATTTCTGTTAGGTAGTCTAATTTGTTGTATAGTCTGTATAATAATTTCTAAAATATAATCTATAATAAATCTTTTATTATATAGACATAACAGTTATATAAAGTAAGTTATACAGTTTAATTGAATAAAAACTTCTATTATGGATGTAATTCCTTTTTTATTTTTTTTTGAATTAATTTTTAAACAATATTTCAAGGAAGTATAGATACTCTCGTTATCATGTATTTTATATATAAATATATATATATACATATATATATATATATATATATATATATATATATATATATATATATATATATATATATATATATATATATATATATATATATATATATATATATATATAATTTTTTTAACATCTAACATTAATTCTGTTTGAAAATTGTTTTTTTATTGGACAAAACTTATTTTTGGTATTTAAAATTTTTTGGTCAAAATACCTGATTTTATGGTATATAATCAGGTATTTTTTGTTTTAAATCCATAATTATTATTATCTTGGTTATTTTTAGATACATTATATGTATAGAAAAAATGCGCTATCCAAAAAATTCTTTTAATAAAATGTTCAACTTTATCAATCAAAGAAATAGTTTTTTCATCTAGTATAAGTATATTTTTCAAAGAGTAAGTGAAATTATAAGTTTCCATTTTTACACGGATTGTTAAAATACAATTAAGAGTGTTCAATAAAAAATGTTAATATAGAGCCAAAGTATATATAAACAATTTTAAAATGTATTCTACAAAATAGAGTGATCAATGTTCTTAAAAAAAAACAGAGCAGTTATAAATTAGAAAATAATCACTTAATAAAAAATTTTCATTTAACACTATGTTTCATCAATAAAGACTCATATTTTATTTTATTAAGAAAACTTGGAAAAAGAAAAACATACATAACTGCTTTGCTAAAAAAATGGGCAGTTATGATGGAGCAGAAATTTGTGAATTTGTTAAACTATATATTGAGATTTGTTAAGTAAAATAATCAGTATTAATGACTTAGGCCTTTATCTTTATCGATGGTTTAATAGTAATGAGTAAAATATTAGAAAAGATATTATAAGTATTTTTTTAAATATTGGATTTCAAATTGTAATAAATATTTTTTTAAAAATCCTGAATTTTCTTGATGTCACATTTAACCTCTCTGAAAATTCATATAAGCCTTTCAAAAAACCAAGCGATGAATTATTGTATATTATTTTTAATGCAAATAATCTATCCCAAATTCTAAAACAAATCCTAATTTCAGTTAATAACAAGCTAAACCAAAACTCCTCTAATGAAAATGTATTCAATTCCTCTAGCTGAATATTTTAAGATGCCCTTAAAAAAAGTGGTTTTCAAAACTTTGACCTAAAATTTTACCTTAAAAAACGAATAGATTTAGAAATGTAATTTGGCCCAACATATAGCAAAAATTTTTCTACTAACATAGGAAAAGTGTTTTTAACATTGGTCGGTAAGCATTTCATGCCCTCTAATAAATTACATAAAATTTTTAATCGAAATACAGTTAAAGTTAGCTAGAGTTGCACAAAAAATATGGAAAGAATTATAAAACGTCGCAACAATACTTTGTTAAACAAAAAAGAAATTCAAATGAAAAAACAACAGAAAATTATTATTGTAAACAAAAAAACAATTGTCCAATGAGTGGAAATTGTTTATCATAAAATGTGGTATATAAATGTGTTGTTTCCTCTATGAATGTACTTGATAAACAATATAATGGCTTATTATATTGGAATGGAAAAAACTTTTTTCCACTCATAAGCAATCCTTTAAAAATAAAAAGTATTCAAAATACACCATACTATCAAAATGCATATGGGAATTAAAAGATAAAATTATTTATGATTTTAAACTGAATTGGTCCATCTTTAATACAGCACCTGCATATAACAATATTTCGGAAAAAAGCATACTATGTCTACAAGAAAAATTTTAAATAGTTACATTTGCAAACCAAGAATGTTTATTAAACAAAAAAAAAGGAATTGATTTCTAAATGCGGGCATGAAAACATTTTTCTACTAAAAAACTATAAGTGAGCTCAAATAATAGTTACATTAAATTCCTTCTTTAATAAATATTTTTTAAAAAAAGCAGAAGTAATCAATTCTAATGAATTCTTTTTATAACAGTGTCAGCAATTCCACAAATGTGTGAAAATTTTTCAATTTTTAAATTTTCAACAAATTTTTGGTATAAATTAAAGTTTTATCAATTAGATCATTCATTTCTGATGAGTATTTATTAATGAAACACAGTGTTAAATAAAAATTTTTTGCTAAGTGATTTTCTACTAATTTATAACTGCTCTGTTCTTTTAAGAACATTGAGCACTCTAATTTGTAGAGTACATTTTAAAATTATTTATATGCATATTTGGCTCCTTAATAACATTTGTTAAGCACTCTTAATTGTATTTCAACATTCCATGTAAATATGGATATTTATAATTTCACTTACTTTTTAAAAAACATACTTATACTAGATGAAAAAAGTTATACTATTTCTTTAATTGAGTTGACCATTTTATTAAAAGAATTCGTTGGATAGCCTATTTTTTCTTAAAATCAAAAACAAACACATTTGATGTATTTGATGAAATTATTGAAATAGGTATATTTTATTAGAAATATGCTTAAGCTTAAGCATATTTTTGAGCCTCTTTTTATTTTTTGCTGATGCATATGGTGTTTCTGGGAAAGTTTTTGAGATTATCAAATCATTTTTTTCTAACCGGTTTATTAAAGTCATCCTTGAAGGCCAACACTCTTCTTTATTTCCAGTTCTTTATTTCCATTTCAACTTCTGGGGTTCCCCAAGGTTCCATCTTAGGCCCTGTTTTGTTTCTTATCTACATAAACGATCTTCCTGACAACCTTTCATCTAAAGTAGCTCTTTTTGCTGATGACTCAACTTTATACTCCTGTCTTGACAAAAAGTCTTCTCTTTTCGATCGCCTAGAACAAGCAGCTGATCTTGAATCTGATCTCACTTCAGTAATAGATTGGGGTTCACAGTGGCTTGTGAATTTCAACTCTAAAAAAACCCAATTGCTTACTGCAAACAACTACCGTAATATGGTCAACATTCCTATATTAATGAATGGCAATCCTCTTACAGAGTCCTCCTCTTTACGTCTTCTTGGATTATCGCTTACTACTGACCTTTCATGGAAACCATATATACAATCGATTGCTAAATTAGCTTCTGCTAAGGTTGCTTCTCTTTATCGTGCTCGCCATTTCCTTACTTCTGATTCCATTCTCTACCTCTACAAATCTCTTATTCGTCCCTGTATGGAATACTGTTGTCATATTTGGGCTGGTTCTTCTAACGATTCACTTTCTCTTCTTGACAAGGTCCAAAAACGCATTGTAAATGTTGTTGGACCTGGACTATCTGCTAAGCTTGAACCTCTTTCCCATCGTCGTAAAGTTGTATCTCTTTCTCTTTTCTACAGATACTATCATGGTCATTGCTCAAAGGAGTTATCATCTCTAGTTCCATCAACTAAAATTTATTCTCGTTTTACTCGTCATTCAGCTAAGTCTCATTCGTTTACTGTATCTGTCCCTGCATGCTCTAAAAACTTTTATTCATCTAGTTTTTTTCCCCGCACTTCAATCCTTTGGAACTCTCTCCCATCTTCATGTTTTCCTGATTTATACAACCTTCAACTTTTCAAATCTTCTGTCAACCGTTTCCTTGCTCTATAACTCTGTTGTTTTTTTTTCCTAGTAACTCCCAACTTAATAGTGGTTGCTTGCAGCCTTGTTGGGAGTGAATGCAAATAAAAAAAAAAAAAAAAAAATTTTTTTACAATAACCAAGATAATGATAATTATGGATTTAAAACAAAAAATACTCCACCTTTTATATCTGATTTGCAAAATTTTGAAAATGACCAATTGCATTTACTTAAAACAATAAAGTTTTGTCCTATACAAAACGAATTTTAAACAGAAATAAAATTAGATTTTAAAAAAATGAAATCAATCCTAATAATTTGGTTTTTGCTGATAAAATAAAATAACATTTACTAACTATGAAAAACTATGAAAAAATTTTACGCAACAATATTACTAGTTCTTATGAGAAAGCCCCTATACACATATTATTCTTATGAGAAAGCCCCTATATATATATATATATATATATATATATATATATATATATATATATATATATATATATATATATATATATATATATATATATATATATATATATATATATATATATATATATATATATATATATATATATATATCAAAAATATATAAAAAAGTTATCTAGTTTATAAATTTTCTGTTATATAGTCTTTAAAATTTCAGTACAATCTGAACAATGAGTATTTTATTGTCAATAAAGCGATTGGCTTATCAAGTATTACAATTTTTGTATTTGAATTACACAAAAGTATTACAAGTAAATGTGTTTACTGTCTTCTAGGCTCTTATCTGTATTTATAAATTGTATGTATTTGCTTTTTTCATGAGTCAGTAGTTAGCATATATCCAAACTCAATTTTAATTCAATTCGATTTGTAAAAGTATGAACAAAAAATGATCAAAATTTTGCATATTGCATATTGATTGCGTAACAAATAGCATATTGCATAAACAAGAGTTAAGTTTATTTGATTTTTTTGTTTTTTTGAAAGGTGGAGTTTGTCCTGAAACAACGTCTTTAAAACGTTTTATTGAAACAAAGTTTCCTGGATCTCTGCTTAAAGACGAGCATCAAGGTTATTTGCATTACCAATTAACGAATAAAAATATATCATGGGCTAATTTGTTTGGAGTTATGGAGAGAGCTAAAGTTGACTTTGAGATAGAAGATTACTCTGTTAGTCAAACTACTTTAGAGCAAATTTTTTTAAATTTTACACGATTTCAAAGATCAGCTGATGAGTAATTTTTTTTGATTTTTCACTTTCTTTTTTTTTAATATATATATTTATTCATAGTGATTTAAAATAAAAATAATACGATATAATAATTTATGTTTAAATTTTTTATTCTTTTAGTTTGTTTATTGTTTTTGTTTCAGTTTTTTAATTTAAAATCTGTTAAATACATCTTTATTTATTTACTTTTTTTAGTTTAATTGTTTTTATTATTTTCAATAAAGTATATTCTATATAAAAATGTTTTTAATTATATATTTTTATATATTTTTTTATTTTGTTTTTGAAAAAACGTGTTTTAAAATTATTATAGTTTACACTTAAAATGTAGAATATTTATTTTAATTGAAGATAATAGCATAACTTTTTCTTATTTCGCACAGTTTAAGGTTTTTTTATTTTACACACTTTAAGGTTTTCTTATTTCACACACTTTAAGGTTTATCTCCTAATTTATATCGCCGCTTGGTAATATTTCTTTTAAACAGTTTTTAAAAGTTAACATCTTAGATAAGTTTTTATATAATCTGTAATAGTATGTAAACTTAACCTTATATAATTCTTTATAATAAAATACAATATTTCTAGAGGTTATATATACCTTCGTTATTCAAGTAATATAAAAAAACCGTTAAAAAAACAAATAAACAAATAATAAAACTTCAATGTAATGTGTTCTTGCGTCTAAATAAGAAAAATAAACAATTCTTTTAAACAGATTTGCAACTGAAATTTATTAAGTGTTCTTTTAAAGATATTGTTTATAGAATGTAGTATAGTATATTAGAAATTTATCTTGAGCATGCGATGCTTCCCAACAAAAAATCATTTAAAAAATTAAATCGACTAAAGTTTCTGATTGCATTAGTATAAAGTAGCAATAACAACAACAACAATATATTTTGTGCTACAGATGTTACAAAAACACAGGTCATTGCAAATAGTAATTCACTAATAAAGCGTAATGACCTAAATAAGATAAAAATAATATTAACAATAATGATAATATGTAATAAGTAAAACCACATAAAAAAGTAGGTTGTAAACTGAAAATGAGGTGGCGAATCTCATAAAAGATACTCTTAAAAATAATAAAAGCCTTGGTCCCAATAGTCTGCCAACATTTTTACTAAAGCTGGTATCTCACATAATCTCCAAACCTCTATCTACTATGATGAATAATTCTTTCAAAAATGGTATTTTTCCAGAAGCTTTTAAGGTAGCCAAAGTAATTCCTATACACAAAATGGGTTCTTATCTAGACTACTCCAATTATCGACCTATTTCACTTCTTTCTAACTTAAGTAAACTATTTGAAAAAGCAATGTTCCAAAGACTCGAGCATTTTTTGGAAAAACATAAATTTATTTACAAACACCAGTATGGTTTTCGCAACAAACACTCAACAACTCATTCATTAATAGAAATAACAGAGAAAATTAGACAAGCAATCGATAATAAACACTTTGCGTGTGGAGTGTTTATTGACATAAGAAAAGCATTTGATACAGTTGAGCACACAATCCTCTTAGAAAAATTGAAACACTACGGTATAAGAGGTATTCCTTTTCTCTGGTTTTCCTCTTATCTTTGTAATAGAACACAATTTGTTTCAATTAATGGTATCAACTCAGGACTAGCTAAATCTTTTAATGGTGTTCCGCAAGGCTCGGTTTTAGGTCCATTACTTTTTCTTATTTTTATCAATGATTTAAATGTTTCTCTTAAATTTTCTACTGCTTGTCACTTCGCGGATGACACCAACTTACTCCTAATTAATAAATCACTTAAAAAACTTAACGAAAATATGAATCACGATCTAGCTAATGTTGTTCAATGGCTCCGCTCCAGTAAATTATCTCTTAACTCTAAAAAAACGGAAATTATTATATTTAAATCTGCTAAAACAAAAATAAATAAGCAATTAAATTTCAGATTAAGTGGCCAAAAAATAAATCTAGTTAACTCAATTAAATATCTTGGAATCAAAATAGACTCTAACTTATCTTTTGCATCGCATCTTCAAGACTTAGCATTGAAATTAAGCAGATCAAATGGTATTTTAGCTAAAATTCGTCATTTTGTTAACCATGAAACTTTGCTTAATTTATATCATGCTATTTTCTCTCATCTCTATATGCTTGCCAAGTTTGGGGACAATCTAAGCAGCTTGCTTTTTTAAGACTAACTTATCTCCAAAACAAAGCTCTAAAATTAATTTACTTTCAACATACTAATTCGAACTGTAGCATACTCTATTTTTTATCTAAAGTCCTTAAATTGTGTGACCTTATTCAGCTACCAAATTGTCTATTTGTTTGGAACCAAAATCATAATAACTTACCTCTTACATTTATCAACTTTTTTAGTTATAGGGAAAACTGTAAATATATTCTACGATCTGCTCTCAACTTTAAATTATCTGTACCTAAATACCGAACTGTTCATTACGGCTGCGAATCCATACAACATAAAAGCATACAAACCTGGAACAATCTCCCTTCCCAATTAAAATCTCTTAAATCATTCTCAAAATTTAAAACTGCTCTCTTTAACCATTTTTTAGAAAAATACTCTTTATAAATCTTTTACCTTTTTACAACTTATTATTTATAACGCAGTGCTTCTATTCATCTTTTAATTTTTCTCATTTCTATCGTGATATATTACTAATTTTAATATCAATTATTAAATTTATTATTATAAACTGATATGTTTCAATAGTATTCTCTTATCACTGTTGTTGTTATTATTACTATATTTTATATCATAATTTATATCATAATGAATATTATTGTAATTGTTATTATTGTTGTTGTTATTATTTTTGTTGTTATTATTGCTATTATTATTATTATTATTATTATTATTTTTGTTGTTATTATTGCTATTATTATTATTATTATTATTATTATTATTATTATTATTATTATTATTATTGCTATTATTATTATTATTATTATTATTATTATTATTATTATTATATTATTATTATTATTATTATTATTATTATTATTATAGTATATTCTTTTTATAATCGCTACTATTATTTTTTTATCACTATAATCACTACTATTACTTTTATTATTCCTACTTGTATTATAATTATTATTATTACTATCTCCATCTTATTTTTATTTATTTTGACAGGTGTTTACTTTATATTAGTACAAATTACTATTTGTAAATATCCTTGATGTAACAACTTTATTCAGAATATATTTGATTTGATTTGATTTGATTTGTAAAAGGAAGTTAAGTTAAATAAGTTAACATAATATTAACTATTATAAGTAAAAAAGCATTAAAATTTATTTGATTATATCAAAATAAATCAGACTTTTTGAATATATATATATGTAATGTACATTTATATATGCACATATATTTAAACAAGAATTATAATAAAATAAGTAAATTATAATAAAAATAATTATTAAAAATAAAATAATAAACTATGATAAAATAAAAAAATAAGTCAAAAGGTATAAAGTAAAAAATTAAAAGGTTAAGCGTAACCTTTTAGGTAGAAATGATGGAGTGACTTTGAGAACAGATTCTTGAACCTAAGGATGAGACCTGATTTTAGGGTGTTCGGAAAGGAGTTCCAAGATAGGGTCCACTGGTATGTAATGGAATTAACTCCATGCTTACTTCTACGTTTTAGTGGGAAAGTTAAGTTGTTATAAGTGACTGATCTTAGGTTATGCCCACATGTTGTTCTATTATTAAAGTAGTTGTGAAATATAGTAGGAAAGACACCATGTTGTTGATCCCAGACAAATGAACAATTTAAGAACTGAGTTAAGTCATAGCAACGAAAAATTTTGGATGTCAGTAGGAAAATTTCTCGGACAAAAATGAATAATCCGTACCGCTCTATTTTGAAGTGAAACAACTCTAGAGAGACATACGGTTTTAGATTGTCCTAACTTGACATGCGTATCGTAAATGTGAACCAAGAATTGAGTGATATATAGAGAGCGATGTTTCAAAGTTAACGTAATGTCGAACTTTTGCTAACATCCCGTTGTAATGGCATAACTTCAGAGTAAGGTCGGATATGTGTGTTTTGAATGAAAGTTTTTCATCTAACACAACACCAAGATAAGTTATGTTACTAGACAAGTTCATTTTTTGACCATTTAATCAAAAGTTTAAGTATTTTGGAATATTTTTCTTATTTTTTTAGAAAAGTTAGTATTTCGAGTCTTAAATTTATTATTTCTGATTTTTTAGTATTCAATGAGATTTTATTTGCTCTAAGAACAAGATTGATCATATCCTGATTTATATATTTATTAAGCTTTTTGAGAGAGTTTGTTATTAATTGAAGATTAGTATCGTCAGCAAAATGTTTTAGAATGTTTGATAGAAAGATTGAGATCATTAATATAGATAATAAAGAGAAGAGAAACTAATATGGATCCCTGAGGTATACCAATTGAAACGTTTTTAATATCTGAGCTGGTTCTATTTATAGTTACAAACTGTTGACAATCAATAAGCTATGATTTGAACCACTGCAAGGATATGCCACATACACCATAATAGTTAAGCTTTGAGAGGAAAATTTCATGGTCTACGGTGTCAAAAGCTTTTTGCAAATCGACAAAAACCCCACACGCAAAGTTGCCATTATCAAGAGCAATTTTTATAATTTCTTTAATTTCAATAAGAGCCTGAGCTGTCGAATACTTTTTACGAAAACCGAACTGGTGTTTATATAAACATTGATTTTGGTTTAGAAAGTTGTATAGTTTATTATGCATAACTTTTTCAAATATTTTGCTTACATTAGAAAGAAGAGATATTGGACGATAGTTAGTGCAGTCAAATGTAGATCTTTTTTTGTGAATCGGAATAATTTGAGCTAGCTTAAAGGCATCGGGAATTGTTCCTTTGCGAAATGAATTGTTTAAAATAATACTAATTGGTTCGCGTAGAGTTCCTGACTCCAGTTTAAAATGTTTTGTTGGAAGACTGTTTGGTCCAACACAACTCCCTTCTATAATAGTGGAATTTATATAATCAAGAGTTTCCTCATTCGTTATTAGTTGCATATAAAAAGAGTTGCTAGT